TTTCCTTCCTTCCTTCCTCCTCCCCATCCTCCCTTCTCCGTCCTCCCTCCTCCCTCCTCCCCCTCCCCCTCCTTGCCTTTGCTCTCGGCACACCTCTCACACGATTCGTAGCCCCATAGGGAGCTCCACCGAAGGCCCCAGTGGGGGTGCCCGCATGCGGTTCCCCCACCCCGGGCAGCGCTTCGTGGCCCCATAGGGAGCTCCACCGTAGGTCCCCGTGGGGGTGCCCGCACGCGGTTCCCCCACCCAGGGCAGCGCTTGTAGCCCCATAAGGAGCCCCACCGAAGGCCCCAGTGGGGTGCCCGCATGCGGTTCCCCCACCCAGGGCAGCGTTTCGTAGCCCCATAGGGAGCTCCACCGAAGGCACCAGTGGGGGTGTTCGCATGCGGTTCCCCTACCCAGAGGTAGCGCCACCGAAAACGATATTCATATTTGCGGCATTCACAACTGCGTTTGGTTGGGTCCTGCGCCAAGCTAATTAGTCCAGGGGGTGGTAGAACCACGCGCGCGCTTCGCGAGAGCTCGGGATCTAGCAAGCCTCGGCCACTGACAAGCTCACGGCTGCTTGCATGTGAGTATCCACGAACGGTGTCAACCTGGTCTGAGGGCGCAAGAGCGCCGACCGAGCAGAGAAGCTCCTCTTGGGAGATCGTGGAGGGTACTCCACAAGTTCGTTGGGTGCTTGAGATCCGCCTGACCGGGGATGTCCTGAAGCCATCTTGTGTGTGCGGGGGCGGTTAGGGAAGGTGGTCGGTCCTCTTGGGTCGGTATTGTACCGTCTTGGGCTGGCCTGTTGAGGGCCATTTGCGGACCTCTTGGGGACTCGTGCGAGCAGCCTGGGGGCATGTCGTGGTCTCTTGGGGTCCTCTTGGGAGCCTCCTGGGGGTCTTGGGGACCCTCTTGGGGCAAGAAGCTCGAACCTACAGTTCGAATCCCCCCTCTTGGGCCCCTGTTCGGGCCCTCTCGGGGCGTTGTTGGGCCGTCTTGGGCGCCTCTGGGGCCGTCTTGAAGCCCTCTTTGGCCGTCTTGGGGCCCTTCTGGGGGCATCTTGGGCCATCTTGAAGCGATCTTGGGGGCCTCTTGGGTCGTCTTGCATGCTGCGAAAGCGAAGAATGCGTGAAAAAAATGTGTTCCAAAAGGAATGGGACGATGTTTGCCTCTTGGGGTCCTCTTGGTGGTCCTCTTGCAGCCGTCTTGGGGACCTTTTGGGCCGTCTTGAAGCCATCTTGGGCTGTCCAGAAGCCATCTTGGCCCGTCTGTCGAGAAGCCATCTTGGCCCGTCCGTGACCCTCTTGGAATATGTCTGGAGGTCCCGGGGTTGCCCGGGGAAGCTCAAGGGAGGCTCCAGGAACGCTCCGGAGCCGGGGGCACTTGGTGTAGTCTGGGTGCCCTTGATGTGCTAGAGCCCTGGAGCCCCTGGGGCCAGGTTTCCGGTATATGAAAGAAATGCAGGCCATCAGCTGCTTGCTATCCGCTGCGGCGGAAAACCACCTAAAAAAGAGTGTGGCGTTCGGCGGCCAGATCATGAATCTTTCAACAACCACACAGAGCTGACGATCAGCAACTCGGAATCTGCAACAGGTGCCGCGGTGAGGACAACGGCCGGCAAGTGCTTCAAGATCAGTCGGCTGACAACGCCCATCATCTTTGGATGGGTTCGGCAGATGCTTCACATCGGTTTAGACTACAGCCCCTTGAGCTCCTGTGAAAGATCCCAGCTTGCAGGGTTCCCCGACTCGCCAAAGGGTCCAGCATTCCCAGGCGCGGCGTCCCCACACTGGGATCCCGACATCCCAGAATACCTCACGTCTCCAGGGAGCACCAGCCTTTGGCGGAGCTGAACCTGCGTCGGCTGGAACCTACCGACTTGCGCGGTACAGACGGCAGGAGCGGGGGAGGCACGGAGAGTGTCGGCAATGAGATGACGGCGGTTCGAAAAATGAACGAAGCTGCGAGCGTGTATCCTGGAGCCTGTCTTCAACGGGCTCGACTCCTACAGTGTGCCGAGGCGCTATCATTCGACACATCCTTCCATACCCTCCCCCCTCCGCCTCCCCCTCTCCCTACTCCTCCGCACGCTCGGCACGGGCATGAGCCCCTTGTAAAAATGATACCGGAGAAATTAGCCTGGCGAAGGACCCAACCACATGCAGTTGAGAGTACCGCAATGGTGAATATCTTCTTCGGTGGAGCTCCCTATGGGGCCACGAAACGTGTGAGGGGTGTGCCGAAATGGGTGTGCGGGACGCATGCGGACGGCAGCACTGGGGCCTTCGGTGGAGCTCCCTGTGGGGCCACGAAACGTGTGAGGGGTGTGCCGAAATGGGTGTGCGGGACGCATGCGGACGGCAGCCATGGGGCCTTCGGTGGAGCTCCCTATGGGGCCACGAAACGTGTGAGGGGTGTGCCGAAATGGGTGTGCGGGACGCATGCGGACGGCAGCCACTGGGGCCTTCGGTGGAGCTCCCTGTGGGGCCACGAAACGTGTGAGGGGTGTGCCGAAATGGGTGTGCGGGACGCATGCGGACGGCAGCACTGGGGCCTTCGGTGGAGCTCCCTGTGGGGCCACGAAACGTGTGAGGGGTGTGCCGAAATGGGTGTGCGGGACGCATGCGGACGGCAGCCATGGGGCCTTCGGTGGAGCTCCCTGTGGGGCCACGAAACGTGTGAGGGGTGTGCCGAAATGGGTGTGCGGGACGCATGCGGACGGCAGCCATGGGGCCTTCGGTGGAGCTCCCTGTGGGGCCACGAAACGTGTGAGGGGTGTGCCGAAATGGGTGTGCGGGACGCATGCGGACGGCAGCCTGGGGCCTTCGGTGGAGCTCCCTGTGGGGCCACGAAACGTGTGAGGGGTGTGCCGAAATGGGTGTGCGGGACGCATGCGGACGGCAGCCATGGGGCCTTCGGTGGAGCTCCCTATGGGGCCACGAAACGTGTGAGAGATGCTGGGGCCTTCGGTGGAGCTCCCTATGGGGCCACGAAACGTGTGAGGGGTGTGCCGAAATGGGTGTGCGGGACGCATGCGGAGCGGGGCATGGGGCCACTGGGGCCTTCGGTGTGAGCATCCCTGTGGGGCCACGAAACGTGTGAGGGGTGTGCCGAAATGGGTGTGCGGGACGCATGCGGACGGCAGCCATGGGGCCTTCGGTGGAGCTCCCTATGGGGCCACGAAACGTGTGAGGGGTGTGCCGAATGGGTGTGCGGGACGCATGGGGCTGGGGCCTTCGGTGGAGCTCCCTGTGGGGCCACGAAACGTGTGAGGGGTGTGCCGAAATGGGTGTGCGGGACGCATGCGGACGGCAGCATGGGGCCTTCGGGAGCTCCTGTGGGGCCACGAAACGTGTGAGGGTGTGCCGAAATGCGGGACGCATGCGGACGGCAGCACTGGGGCCTTCGGTGGAGCTCCCTGTGGGGCCACGAAACGTGTGAGGGGTGTGCCGAAATGGGTGTGCGGGACGCATGCGGACGGCAGCCATGGGGCCTTCGGTGGAGCTCCCTGTGGGGCCACGAAACGTGTGAGGGGTGTGCCGAAATGGGTGTGCGGGACGCATGCGGACGGCAGCACTGGGGCCTTCGGTGGAGCTCCCTATGGGGCCACGAAACGTGTGAGGGGTGTGCCGAAATGGGTGTGCGGGACGCATGCGGACGGCAGCCATGGGGCCTTCGGTGGAGCTCCCTATGGGGCCACGAAACGTGTGAGGGGTGTGCCGAAATGGGTGTGCGGGACGCATGCGGACGGCAGCACTGGGGCCTTCGGTGGAGCTCCCTATGGGCCCACGAAACGTGAGAGGGGTGTGCCGAAATGGGTGTGCGGGACGCATGCGGACGGCAGCCATGGGGCCTTCGGTGGAGCTCCCTATGGGGCTACGAAACGTGTGAGAGGTGTGCCGAGGGCAAAGGCAAGGAGGAGGAGGAGGGGGGAGGGGGGGAGGAGGAGAGGAGGAGGAGACGCGGACCACCGTCTCTTCAAAACGAGGACCCAACACCACAGGATGGTTGGGAAAAAACATCAGCATCTTTTTAGAGCTATAGGGCTCTGGGGCTATAGGGCCATAGGGCTATAGGGCTATAGGGCTATAGGGCTATAGGGCTATAGGACTATGAGGCTATAAGGCTATAGGGCTATAGGGATATAGTGCTATAGGGCAGTAGGGCTATAAGGCTAGAAGGCTATAAGGCTAGGGGCTACAGGGCTATAGGGCCGGCTATAGGGCTATAGGGCTATGAGGGCTATAAGGCTATAGGGCTACAGGGTTCAAGGGCTATAGGGCTGTAGGGTTATAGGGCTGTAGGGATATAGTGCTATAGGGCTATAAGGCGAATAGGGCTATAGGGCTACAGGGTTATAGGACTATAGGGCTGTAGGGCTATTAGGGCTATAGGGCTACATGGCTATAGGGCTAGAGGGCTATAGGGATATAGGGCTATAGGGCTGTAGGGCTATAGGGCTATAAGGCTATAGTGCTATAGGGCTATAGCGCTACCGGGCACCCAGGCACCTGGGCACCTGGGCACCCAGGCACCCGGGCACCCGGGCACCCAGGCGTGCCGCCGAAATCGGCGCCGTACCTCACCCAACCATATGAGTCCGCTAGCACTCCTACAGAGGCAAGCTCTAGTTGGCGAAATACAGGTCGCCATGTCAAGGCGATGATCGGCAGCAAGCTCTGCCACTCAGCCGCATGTGTCAGCCCTACGACTGGGCAGGCGCGCCTCGGCCTTCACAAAAAAGGGGTTGGGCACTCGGAAATGCAGAAGAAAACACAAGCGAGGGAGGATGGATGGGGGGAGGGAGGGAAGAAGGGGGCAGAATGAGGAATGCCACGTGTCATCACGTCAAGACGACAGAAGCAAGGCGTGACAGGGCGTGGGAAGCTGCCGCGCAATGAGCTGGCGAACTGTCGTTCTGGTGCCAAGCCCTGGCCTGCTCCTCTCATCCTCCCTCTGTCATCTCTCGAGATCCTGTGGGTGGCGCACCGAGCGCTTGCACTCGAACGCTATCAACCGGAAATCTCCACGGGCGTGGCTTCCCGCTGGGTCAGATTCCAGATGAACTCGTCATAACCCCGCGTAAAGCTGCTTGACCCCGCTGCTGCTCGGGACTCCTCTTCCCGCGCATCAGGAAAAGGGGGCGAGGCCCTTGCTTGCGTCATCCCTGGCATGCTGCTAGCTGTGGCGTCGGGAACAGTAGAATGCCTGAGGCGCTGCTCCATGTGGCCTCGTAGCCGCTGGGGAAAACCACAAAGTACCCATGCCGCTACTCCCCGGACCTCTGCCGGGGTGCGTTTTGACTAGAAACAGGGGGCCCTGGGAACCCGGAAATCATGTTCCCGGAGAGGAGTCAGGGAACATGATTTCGAACGGGGCCCTCTTGGGCCTGAGGCCGTCTTGGGGGCCTCCTGGGCTGGCTTCGGGGCCCTTTGGGGCCACTGCTGGGGTTCTCAGGGATCCCTAGGGTTTCCTTAAGATTCCTAGGGAGTCATCGGATTCCCAGGGCCATTTTCCAATGTGAAGACGACGAGAATGAGCACGACGACGACGACGACGACGACGACGACGACGACGACGACGACGACGACGACGACGGCACGGCGCCGAATCGATGGGAAATGTAGCGAATTTTCGTCCGACCTTTCTACATCCAAGCTGAGAATCCCTCTGTCGTGCAAGCTAGACCAGACAGCGAAATCCGCCAGCAGAAATAACCACCCAACAACAACAACAACAACAACAACAACAACAACAACAACAACAACAACAATCACTTTACCCGAACGCTCAGTGTTCTCACCAGTGCCAGGGTTTTCATGCGACGCCAGCCAATACCCCCACTTTGTGGGGGGGCAGTGCAAGCTCTACCAAATATCCACACGACTCTTCGCCACCACCCACACCCAGCTTCCCGCCCTATGACGTTCGGACACTTCACTTCGTGGCCTGCGGACGACCGTGGCTACTACACTGGCGTGGAGTACACACCCACAGAAGTTGTTAGGACAGCGCGCGCGGGTAGAAATTTTGAAAAGTCGTGCAGGTGTTTTTCGAGGACCTACGGTGCGATTCGTGTGATTTTATGATGCGCGGTGCTAAAATTCTTAAGAAGCCCAATGGTTTTTGGAGATTTCGGCGTGCGCGCGCGAAGAAAAAACGAATGTGTCCCGCATGGTATTATTTGACAGGGATGATGGCCCTGGCAGGTGCGCAACCGTTGTCGCAGAAGTTCGAAAAAGTTGCTCGCAAAAGCCCGTTTGACAAAATTGTTTAAAAAGTGATGGTTTTCCTACGAATCCGCAAGAGCGCGCGGGATGAGATTTTGACAATTTTTTATTTAAAAAACCATTGGGTTTTTGATGTTTTTATGTTGAAATCGTTCCGAAACCTAAGGTTTTGGAAGGATTTCGTCTTGCACGCGCGAATGTCCACTTTAGCTTATTTTTTGCAAGGGATTCTTGAAATTGGATTACATTTGAACAAGAAATTTCATTTTATAGTGTTTTTTGCAAGGGAAAACGGGGGGGAACAAAACAACCGGATCCGGTACTAATCCACTTTTCTGAAGCTTTCGCGAAAAAATGATGAAAATGTAGCTGCGGCCTAGGTTTTGGAGGGGGGTCGTGTACCAGGGGTCCCAACAATAATTATTCTTTAGAAGTAATAATGTTCAACAACAACAACAACACTACTACTACTACTACTACTACTACTACTACTACTACTACTACTACTACTACTACTACTACTACTACTACTACTACTACTACTACTACTACTACTACTACTACTACTACTACTACTACTACTACTACTACTACTACTACTACTACTACTACTACTACTACTACTACTACTACTACTACTACTACTACTACTACTACTACTCTACTACTACTACTACTACTAACTACTACTACTACTACTACTACTACTACTACTACTACTACTACTACTACTACTACTACTACTACTACTACTACTACTACTACTACTACTACTACTACTACTACTACCCACAAGCGAACACTAGCGGGCAAATTATTGCGCGCGGCACACACCAACAAGACCCACCACAAGTATGGCAAGCTCTTACTGCACACGAGTCTGTGGCCGACACCCATGTGATGACGACGACGACCGCGACGACGACGACGACGACGACGCGCCGACTCGATTGGTGATGTAGCGAATTTTCTTGCAACCCTTGTACAAACAAGCTCACCATTCCTCTGTCGTGCGGCGTAGACAAGAGGGCAATATCCGACAGGAGAGCATCCACTAAAAAACAACCCGCTGGCGAACAATGATTAAAAAATAAGTCCGCGAGGAGGAGGAGTCCGAATTAAGGGAGTACAAGGGAGGATCCTAAGAACCCCAAGGGAGTCCCGAGGACACCTGGAAGGGGAGCACAAGGAGGCGGGGCGAGGAGGGAGAGCGAGGGGGAGGGCGAGGAGGGGAGCACGAGGAGGCGGGGCGAGGAGGGAGAGCGAGGAGGAGGGCGAGGAGGAGGAGGGCGAGGAGGGGAAGGACGAGGAGAGGGAGGACGAGGTGTATTCCCAGACGAGAGCTTCGGGGAGGGGTAGCATTAAAGACCCTCTGAGGTTTTCCTCAGCCTCGTATGGCAGTCTTGCCATGGAATGACTCGTGCGGATCAGAGGTGCAGCAGTGGTGGCGGTCATGCTTGAAATCAGTGGGCCCGAACATGAATACACATCGGACCATCTTCCGTGGGTTTGTCTCATCCTCGAGTGTATGACGGGGCCGCCCCGCCTGTGAGTCGCCACCGGCACCGTGGTCGCGCGGCGCTTCGAGCCACACCGTCAGGGGTACGGGTCGACCGCGCGGCACAACCCAGCCATGATCTTCCTCTGGCTGCCACTTGGTAGGCGCACGCGGTAGAGGCCCTCCGCCGCGTCGACGATCGTTATCGTTCCCCTGACGCCGTCGAGGTCCGAGCCCGTGCCGAATATGAGCACCTCGGTGGAAGGCTGAAGCAGGCAGCAGTCGGCGCTCTTCGGAGATGGCTTCCAGACGCGCTCCCTCGGGCCTCCCCGCGCGAGCGTGGCGTCGTCGCCCGCCCTGGTGTCCGCGGGCGTGGCCCTGGCCATGCCCCAGTGGTCGCAGATCGTGGACGCGACGGACTTTGGCGAATCGCAGTCCTGAGCATCGTTTAACCGATCCCCATCCCCAGCGGCGTGGCCTGGGCCCCACTGGCCGATTTACCCCCCTAGATGGGGATATAGGCCGTGTCCGTCGGGCTTCGAGGGGTGTATCCCCAACTTGGGTGGCAATTTGGTGGGGGTCTCGAAGGGGATGCGGATGGTGATGGGGATTGGTTAAACGATACCGAAGTCCGCTTCCTCCTCCTCGTCGTAGCCGGCCCTGGAAGCGAGGATCGGCCGCACCTCATCTCTGGCGTCCGGCAGCTCCGTCGAGCACGCCGAAACGGCCCTGCCGCGCGCCAGGCGCGGCTGAGCCGTCGGGCTGTCTGGCTTGGCGGCCCTGGACAGATCATCCTCGACGGCGTGGGACTTCTGGTTCGTCGGGGTGCCCAGCGCTGCTCCGTATCCCCTGCCCTCGTCGCAAGCCTTCGGCATGTCGGGCTGGGCGGTCGCTGGCACGGAACAGTCGATGGTTTGAGAGTTCTGCTTGGGCGACCTTACCGCCGCCTGCAGGGAGCTGGCGGCGTGGCGGCTGCGCCGTGCTGCAGCCTCGTGTCCGCACCGCTGCGGCACCTCGAGCCCGCCCTGCCCCGCCGGGGCGGGCGCGGGCGCTGGCGCCGACCAGACCTTGCGGGCCGCGCTACCGGGCTGCGGCTCCTGACCGCGGGCCTGGTCGGGCAACCAGCCGGCAACCTGGCCGAACTGAGGCAGCAAGGGCCCCTCCGACTTCGTCGCCCTGGCGCGGCGCCCGGAGCTGGCGGGGTCCTGCCGCCGACCCACCGCAACCAGCCCGTCCGCCAGCATCGAATTCTTCACAGCGAGCTGGTTGTACGGGTTCTTCAAGAATGTGCGGCTCGTGGGCATGGCGGCAGCGCCAACTTTTTGAATTGAAGTGCCCCTCCCACGGATCGCACCCAGTCTACGACCAGGGATAAGACTGAGGCTCAGACTGCGTCGTTGGCCCCCGAGCTGCCACAGCCACAGCTCTCGCCCGACACTTCCGCCCAATTCATTCAAACTGGTCTCGCGCGGGACCTCCTCACAAATTAAATAAGAATCGCGCTTCGAAACGTCCTCGCAAATGATTGAAACGCCGCGACCTCGACACTCGGGAATGCCGCTCCCAATCTGAAATTCCGAACGATTTGGTTGGGAATCGTGCTATCGCGCGAGAGGACGCGAGGAACTGCCGCTTCTGCGACCCGCCCGCTCGGTCCGGCCGTCTGGGCCGGCCCGTCCGACACGCCCGCTTGGGTCTGCCAGCCCGACCCACCCGTCTGGCTTTGCCGCTTTTTTCCTGCTCCTAACCACCCATCCGGCGAATTTCCCACATGCCCCATCCTTCTCCGTCCCCCCTGTCCCGCCCCTCCTCCATTGTTTCCATATGTAAGAGCTACATCAACTATATGTGGCAGGCAAGGAAGATGCACGGGGCACGGCCGAAGACAAGGAGGGCGGGCATCGATGGGGTCATGGTACACATGTCGCGTGACACGAGAGAAATTAAAAAGAGAACTAGATTGGAATGACTGCTGCTGCTGAATATAAAACTCTAAACAGTTGTTATTGTTGGGCCCCATATTTACGCCTGGGCGATCTGGCCTCGACGCTAGCTGCTACTCTTTTTTCCAAACCATCCTGTGGTGTTGGGTCCTCGTTTTGAAGAGACGGTCCCCACGTTCCTCCTCTCCTCTCCTCTCCTCTCCTTATCCTTCTCCTCCTCCTCCTTCTCATCCTCCTCCTCCTCTTGCTCCTCATCCTGCTCCTCCTCCTCATCCTCATCCTCATCAACATCAACATCAACATCAGCATCATCAGCATCATCAGCACCAGCACCAGCATCAGCATCAGCATCAGCATCAGCATCAGCATCATCATCCTCATCATCATCATCATCATCATCATCATCATCATCATCATCATCATCATCATCATCATCATCATCATCATCATCATCATCATCATCATCATCATCCTCATCCTCATCCTCATCCTCATCCTCATCCTCATCCTCATCCTCATCCTCATCCTCATCCTCATCCTCATCCTAATCCTCCTCCTCCTCCTCCTCCTCCTCCTCCTCCTCCTCCTCCTCCTCCTCCTCCTCCTCCTCCTCCGCCCGCCTCCTCCGCTCCGCTCCTCCTCCTCCTCCTCCGCATCCGCCTCCTCCTCCTCCCTCCTCCTCCTCCTCCTCCTCCTCCTCCTCCTCCTCCTCCTCCTCCTCCTTCTCCTCCTCCTCCTCCCGTCACCCCCGCAATTTGGCACACCCCTCACGCGTTTCGTGGACCCATAGGGAACTCCACCGAAGGCCCCAGTGGGGGTGCCCGCATGCGTCCGCCACATTTAATACAACGTTGCGTGGCCCAATAGGGAGATCCACCGAAGGCACCAGTGGTGGTGCCCGCATGCGCCCGCCACACCCAGTACAGCGTTTCGTGGCCCAATTTGGAGCTCCAACGAAGGCCCCAGTGGGGGTGCCCACATGCGTCCGCCACACACCGTGCAGCGCTTCGTGGGCCCCATAGGGAGCTCCACCGAAGGCCCCACTGGGGGTGCCCGCATGCGCCCGCCACAACCAGTACAGCACTTCGTGGCCCCATGGGGGGGGGCTCCACCGAAGGCCCCAGGTGGACCGCCCTCATGCGCCCGCCACACCCAGTACAGCGCTTCGTGACACCATAAGGGTGCTCCAGCGAAGGTCCCAGTGGGGCCGCCCGCATGCGTCCCCGCAACCCAGTACAGCGCTTCGCTGCCCCATAAGGAGCTCCACCGAAGGCCCACGTGGCACCGCTGCGTCCGCCACACCCAGTACAGCGGGGGACGCATGCGGGCACCCCCATTGGGGCCTTCTGTGGAGCCCCCATATGGGGCCACGAAGCGCTGTATTCGGTGTGGCGGGCGCATGCGGGAACCTCCATTGGGGCCTTCGGTGGAGCTCCAAACCACGCAGCGCTGTATTGGGTGTGGCGGACGCATGCGGGCACCCCCACTGGGACCTTCGGTTGGGCCACGCAACGTTGTATTGGGCGGGGGGGACGCATGCGGGCACCCCCACTGTGACCTTCGGTGGAGCCCCTATAGGGCCACGAAACGCTGTACTGAGTGGGGGGACACATGCGGGCACCCCCACTGGGGTCCTCGGTGGAGCTCCCTATGGGGCCACGAAGCGTTGTACTGGGTGTGGGGGACGCATGCGGGCACCCCCACTGGGGTCTTCGGCGGAGCTCCCTATGGGGCCACCAAACGCGTGAGGGGTGTGCCAAAGTGAGGGGGGGTGACGGGAGGAGGGAGGAGGGGGGGAGGAGGAGGAGGAGGAGAGAGGAGAGGAGGAACGCGGGGACCGCTTCTTCAAAACGATGACCCAACACCACAGGATGGTTGGGAACCATGGCGAAGCCTCTTGGGACGCTTTTCGGGGCCTCTTCAGGGCCGTCATGGGACCCTCTGGGGGACCTTTTCGGCAGTTGGGGGGGGCTCTCCTAGGGGCCTCTGGGCCCGTCTTGGACGCTGGGTACATGAAAGCAATGATTGCGATAGAAATGTAAGCTTTCCTACGGGAGCGGTGCGATTTTGCCTCTTCGGGTTCTCTTGAGGGACCTCTCGGAGCCGTCTTGGGGCATCCTGGGAGCCTGTTGGCGATTGTCGGGGTCCTCTTAGAGGGGGAGGCCTCGAAATGTGGGTTCGACTCCCCCCCGCGGGGCCCCAGTTAGCGCTCTCTTGCTCCCTTCGGCCGCCTTGGGCGGTCCTGGGTGCCTCTTGGGCCGTCTGTTTTCCCCCTCCCCGCGACGCAGCTGTCCATGGTGGACGCGCAAAGACCCAATCACCATCCCTGTACACTGTACACCGCTGCCCCGATGGTTTCCTGTCACTAGTAAGCAAAAGAAACTAACGTCAAGCATGTTATCGAAATCACCATCGTTGAAGTTTACAACGGAATGAAGGGCGCACTACTCTCTCGCTGCGAATGTGTACTGCATGGGTCCCTCTTGGCCCGTCATGGGGAGCTGAGCCCGTCCGTCTTGGGACCCTCTTGGGGGCCCTCTCCGACAATGCAGGGATCCTCTGGTGGCCCGCTGGGGCCCCCTGGGGACTCTCTGGGGCCGTCTTAGAGCTCGTGCTGCTCGAAGCTCTCTTCAGGCCGTCTTGAGGCCCTCTTGGAGACCTCATGGGCGGTCGGGGGCTGATTTGGGAAGCCTTTGGGGCCGACGTGGCCGCTGTTAGGACTGAAAACCGAATATCTCCCAAAACTATGGTTTTTTCCATGGGAAATGCTGGATGTTTGGTTGCCCTTGGGGTGCCTTCTCGGCGGCCTCTTGGACCGTCTTGACGGAATCCGTTTGGGCCTTTTTTGGCCCGTCTGGAGGCACATTTCGGTCGTCCCGGTCCCTCTTGGCACGTCATGGGCGGCTGAGCCCGTCTTGGGGCCCTTGTGGGGCCCTCTCCGACCATGTAGGGATCCTTTGGTGGCCCCCTCGGGCCCCCTCTGGAGACTCTCTTGGGCCGTTTGGAGCTCCCTTGTGCTGCTCGAAGCTATCTTCATGCCGCATGCTCTAAGTATGCTCCAAGGGCCCCCCCCCGCGAGGTGGCCTCCAAGACTTCCAACATGCTCCCATGAGGCCTCCAACAAACACCCAGAAACTCTAAAGAGGATCCGAAGAACTCGCCGGGGGCCCGAAACAGAGGCGGAGGGGGCACGGGGCGGGCGGGGGGTCCACTGGGCTGCTGGGGAACGCTGGGGAAAAGGGGGGATGGGGGGCGGGGGCGGGGCGCGCCGTGCGACGCGGAATAAAATGATCGGGGCGGACGGGGGCACTGGGCGGAGGTTCCACTGGGCCGCTGGGGAACGCTGAGGACAGGCAGGAGGGGGGCGGGGAGGAGGGGCGCAGTGCGACGCGGAATCAAACTGTCCGTGCGGAGGACGCACTGGGCGGTTGTTCCACTGGGCCGCTGGGGAACGCTGGGGCGGGGGGGGGCGGGGGGAGGGGGAGGGGGAGAGG